GGTGAGAAAAATTGTTATTTTGGTGCGGCTTTACCACACGAGTCGTGTGGCACATGGACATATTAACATGTGCCCACCGTGGGTAGGTGAGCATTTTTCTCATTAAATAATAACAACCAGTCAATTTTACACATAATACCAACTTTAATTCAATATTTATCAACTCACCTAATTTTAACTAATCACCACTTCATATCCTATCTCTCTCCTATTTTTACATCAAATCAACTTTAACCAGAGGCGTAGCCAGAAACCAAAAGTACCCTGGGCTAATTGTCTATCAAGTTATAGCTCGACTCGTTTAATAAAATGAGTATGATGAATGACGAGTCAACCTCAAAACCTAACAAGCCAAGCTAATTTGAGTGTTCATGAAATTACTTAAAACCTCAAAATTATTGAGCCTTGTTGGAAATGGTGAATTCATTGATACAAAACTCAAAAAGAAAGCTCATGGATATCCGAAAATAGCTAGAAGATAATTCTCATTAATTGCTTACAGCTGCTGAGGGCAAAGATGCTATATAAAGCTTGTACAAACAGAAACCCTAAAAACTGGAACTACTCATAAGGGGACACGTGTACATGGATATGTGCAGCACATGCAAAACAATAAATTCAAAAATTAGACATGCTCAAAGTGTGATGGCTCGTTTATTATGTTTATCAAGCCTTATTGAGTTGATAAAGTCACCCAGCCATGAAGTTCGAGCATGGTTCGATTACCGATATTAACGACTTGAGCTCGAGCCTTAATTAGTCAAACTTTGAAGTTTTTTGTATCATTTAATAGCTCTAAGAACGGAAGTATGGTTTAATTAAGAATGACATACACAATATTCCATGTTAACTACAAATATTCTAAAAATGAATCAGTCTTAAGTAACAATGTCGTGCTTTTTCCGTCTCTACTAATCGCCGAAACAAATCATAAATGATAGAAATATTCTCACATAGTAAAATAATTGAAATACGACATCTCATTAATATTAAGGTTATAATAATTCAAAGGAAATTCAACTGTTGCTAAAAAAATATGATAATAATAACTCAAAAGAAAATTCAATCTTATAGAAATTAACAATATATTTTACAAAAGATGGATTAGGGCCGTGGTCCTCGTGGACGGAAATATTCCATCAAGAATTTTGATTTTTTAACCATAATAATGCATGTTTTATGTGTATGGAAGAGAGAAGATTTTATTGACAAAGTAAACATAAATACAATAAACTCATGCATCTCATACATTATTCAATTAAGAAAAGAGATTTTTTTAAGGTGAATAAAACAATTAGAAACTCAAGCGACTAGAATTATATACAATTAAAGAAAAGCATAAAATAAAACTAATAATTATTTGCATTATGCAGATTTTTATTGCTTTTTCTTTTTAGGTATTTTAAAAATTAATTATTGAATGTGGCTAGTCCTTGTTCAAAAATTGTCGGTTTGCCTTTACTTGCTTAAAGAAATGTACTCGGTAATGGTGAAGGTAAAAATGAGGAAAAACTAATGAGAGAAGTCAAAAAATTTTAGGAAAATTGTTACATTTATTAATTAGGGATGTAAATAATATTGGGCTTAGCCTTTTCCATATAAATGCATCAGTCACTTTGTTACTATTGAACCTGGGCTGCTCTCAAATATGGGCAGAAATATATATACATTTCCTTGAAAAATTTTGAATTAGCCTAGGCTGGAGTCCAGTCTTTGGGGTGGCTCCGCCCCTGACTTTAACTATTTTATTTTAAATATTAATTTAAATACTCTCAAAATCTCCGTAACAACTAACTACACTAAAAAATTTATATATTAATCATAGTTAACTAATAAAAACTCAATTTGAGTTAAGTGATTGAATTTATCCTTTTACAAACACACCCTAAACTATTCTGCCTGGGGGTCGAGCATGATGCCATGATCCCGAACCTCAAGATGATAAGATCGACACTCAAGAAAACCTCGCGAGCAATCAGCGCATCCTCGTACTGTCATATACCCATGTTGGATGTCGATCGAAAATGTTTCAAGGAGAATACAGTCGTACTGGATGTCGATTTACGAGCATCAATATTCAAGGACATGTATCGTTAGTTCATGTTCTGTTTTCTCAAGAACTTACTCCAGGTCAATGAATACATTTCTGAGAAAAAGGGCAGAACAAACAATAGAACTCTGAGCTAGCAAAATGTCCGGAAACACGGCTTTAAACGAAACATTTTTCGTGAAGTACTATGAGTACAGCATAGAAAACCTGTCAGGCTGCCAGAGCATCAAAATGCATAAAACTGTGGCAAGATATTGCGTATTAATGCATTGCTTCAAAACGTGTGTTGTTTCATTCCTCATTTGGATTCCAAGCCGACCCCTCCGAAAACGGGTCGAGAGCATCACCCTTCCCATTCACATAGAAATCGATCACAGCCTTCATCCTTGGAACCTTATCCAAATGGTAATTCAAATGAACCACAACCGGCATAATTTTCCTCAAACCATAATCCTTCCTGACCACCTTGAAAAGAACTTTACTGTTCATAAACAGGTACAAATCCATAGTCCTCCTCGACACATGAAGCCCGTTATAACCCGGGCTCGAAGGATAAAACATCTCCTCATTAAAAACCGCCTGGTCCCACGCCTCCTCTTCCTGGTCCAGACGGCTCGCCACCCGATCAAGAAGCTCGATCGATGGCAAAGTGGGCCTTATGTAAAAGAATCCCGAATTATAAACCCATATCCTCATCGTGTGTGCGTAGCGGGACCAGCCCATTTCGGGCTCGTCAAAAACATCATCATATCCGTAAGCCGTCAAGTTGTCGTGTCCATCTGACATGGCCTCCACATCACAGTCCCTGTACAGGTGGTGCCCGAACGGGTTTTGCAGGAACACAATGTCGATATCCGAGAGAAGAACACTGTACCCCATTTGGAGAAACTCCCTCAACACTCGGAATTTAAGGCCCGAGACTTCATGGCTTGATGATGAGTTGATGAGTTCGAGAGTCGGGCTCGGTCGGTACACCGGGACGTCGTTCGAGATGCAGAAATCGAGCGTTTCGGTATCTAATGCTGCGACTAGGTAATTAAAGATGCCGGCTTTTTTTATGCTCGTGAACCAGAGTTCTAAAGCGGGCTTCACGTTTGAACTGGCGAGGGCGAGTATGAGCTCCCTGTCGATCGCTACTTTGGATAGGATTTGAGCGAGTCTTGGATTCACCGTCTCGTCGGGGATTATTGGCGGGCTTGTTCTTGGTCCTTTGACGGTGCCGAAAGGCCCGGGCTTTTGCGGTTTGTAGTTAGATGGCGTGCTGCTCGATTCTCGTTCGGCTAGACATAGCTTTTCGCTCAGGTCTCTGATTCGGGTTTTCAGCTCTGTGATTTCGCTCGACAGCTTTACGTTTTTCGACTTTAGAGCCTCTGTTGATTCGAGCGACGAAGAATCGGCCTAAATGTTTAATCAATCCACGAATAATCAGAAGTGAAAATGTTGAAAAAAATGGATCAAAATTTACTGGCATAAACATGAGTAATCACTGATCCCGCTAAAATTAAATCGTGTCTTCTACGTTGATCGGAATTACATAATCGGAAATTCATCAACAATTCAAATAAAATTTGGCGCACCTTCAGAGTAAGGTTGGAAAGGGGGCGATTTCCTGTGAGCGGATTCACGGAGAACCACCACCACCCACGGTTGAACAAGATGAAGATGACGAAGCCCGCCGCCACTCCTATCCCAATCGCCGTCGCCGCCACTGGTGATCGGAAAACCGATGACGATGGTTGGCCCGTGCTCTTCTCCCTCCATGGCCCCGCCATTTTCCGGACTAAACCGAATCAAAGAGTCAATTTTTGTGTTCTTTTATGAAAAAATTTGCCTAATTGAAGATGGCTTAGCCTCAATCCTTGATTCAACCGTCGTTCATAACTCACAAGCCATAAACCCGATGAAAACCAAGTTGGGAATTTGCTCCTCGTTTTGTTGATGTGAATATATATTATTATTACTTACGTATTTGGTATATAATGGCATCAAGATTTTGGTGAGTTGCAGAAAGGGAAATCTGTTAATAATATTATGCGTGTGCATGTGTAACCGCTAATCTGCAAAAATGGTGTTTTTATATTAGTCACGAAAATCACATTTGTGTCCTCACACACCTACCATTAGTAGGTGTTTTGAACAAGACAAAATTTTGCCCTGAAATTGGGAAAGAAGATCTTTTTCCCCGGAAACAGCTGAAGCATGGCCCTCCGTTTTGGACACCGGTACATAGACACGGTACGTCGCTCGACAGAACCCGAAAAATCGAACCTTAATTCCTAACATTCATCCTCAAGAATCTCTCTCCCAACTCATAAAAAAACCACCCATATTACGAAGCCCGTCACCGCCCGTCGAGCTCAGAAAGGCTGAGAAGCCCGCAGGCTGGGACTGATCAACACCCTCCTCCATTCCCAGCCCGAGAAAGTCGAGAGTCGTGGGCTTCTCGACGAAAATTGACGGGCCCATCATCATGTCGTTCAGGCCCGAAGACCCGCCGGAGGCATGCCCGAGCACAAGCCCGGACGTCGCCAGGCTGCTCACAATCTTACTGGTGAGCTGCGGGCTGGATGGAGAAGTCGGGCCAAGCCTGAGCCCGACGATATATCTACTCGAAAAGTAGAATTTTTCTAGACAATTTAATTTAACCCGAATGAAATATTTAGCCATAAAAAATTCAGTGGTCAAATGCGTTTTATAACTTATTTTTCCAACATATTACACTCAGACACATTATCGTTTAAATTGTTGAAGAATTTAATAATAAAGTAATAGATCAGTGAGGAAGGCTGTATAAATAAAAAATATAATTATAATATAACCAAAATTAAAAAAATAAATTAATTCAAAAGTAAATTATTGAGTTGTATGTGTGTGGTTAAGAAAATTGTCATTTTGACAAATTGAGTATAAAATAAAGGTATTATCTATATCTATCTATATCTATATAAAAAGAATTATCATTTACTAAAAATAGTAGCAAAACATTAGGATACATTTAATGCATACTATTTTGGGAACTTTTTTTAAGTATATGCATTAATTGCTTCTATTTACACATTTTTAAATAAGATCAAATAACATATGATCAAATAATTACTTAAATAAATTTATTAATATCTGCAGTATTTTTATTGATATTTATTATAATAAATTACAGATCGATTTTCGTGATTCATGTTGATAATATTTTGGTCAAGATAAATATTATTTTATTAATATTTGTAATATTTTCATTTATATTCATTATAATAAATTACAAGATTGATTTATGTGATCCATGTTGATAATATTTTAGTCAAGAATATATTACACCATATTTTAAATTCTAACCATAATATTATTTTTTTCACAAATATTCACTTTTTATCCAAAAATATTTATGGAAAATCGTAATAGGTTGGGTAGAATTTTTTCCCAAATAATCATACAAAATCAAGTTGGTGAATTAATCTTTGCCAATATATTTGTTTCTTAAGCTTTATTTTGTTAAATATAAAAAAAAAATCGTTCTTCAAATTAATATAATTTAGCATTTAAGAGATAATGACCAGATACAATAATAGTTTTACTAATGGTAAAAACTTGAAATTGACACATATTAACTATTGTTTCGAAATTTATTTGTATATTATTGGCACCCATGATTATATTTTTTATTTTTTTATTTTGATTTATTTCTATAATAAATTCTTGTAAAATATATTTTCATTGCAGAGTATGCTAAATAAACTATAAATCCTTATAATGCGAATTAGAAAAATCTTGATCATAGAGGGGGTCGAGTTTTTGGCATTTTCTAAATCAAAGTTGTTTAATTAGTATACGAAATTAAATTCTAAAAAAAACATGTGTATATTTTGTAAAATATTTATACACTATTTAATATTAAATTTATTTAGATATTTTAAATTGATTACATAAATAAATAATACCAACGTGCATCAAATATTTTTCATTACATAAAATAAAAATAAAAAGAAGACTTACAACTTCTATTACTTTATAAATAATAATGACAATGTATAATAAAATAATAGTTAAGTATTATATGGTGAACTAGAATAAGTAAAATTGTTATTCTCTCTTATATCAAGGAATAAATATATATACTAAAATTAAATTTAAATTAGGATAAATATGTTAGTGAAATAATATATTAATTATTTTAAGATTTTGACTAAAAAACAACGTTGATTAAAAGAGGTGCAAAATATATTATAACCTTATTGTTTATTATACTTAACGTTGATTAAAAGAGATGAAAAATAGATGATAATCATATTGCTTTATATACTTAAACGGACAAAGCATGTAAAAATAACTCATTTAATATTTCTGTTCCGTGCATCCCATAGGGTATATACTAGTTTTGAATAATTAACTGTGTTATTTTTTAGTTATTAGTTGTATATTTACTTTAATATCATTATATTATAAGAATATACATTTCTTTACTTCTTTAATGTGATACAAATATGTATAAATTCTATGGCACCACATGTATGGTGCCACATGTGGTGCCATAATATGGTGCCACATGTGGTGCCATAGAATTTCTCTACAAATATGTAACTTTCAAGCGCCCATGATGTTCACGGACGTTATTAACCGCCAAATAAATTTACTAGTCTATTTAATTTTGTCAAAAATAAATATATATTAAATAATATATAATATTATTTAATTCAAATTTTACTTCATATAAATATTTTAAAGAATTTGAAATAATAAAAAAAAAATACTTTCTTATTTATCATTTATAGTTTTTAATTTCACAATAAGATTTTATTTTTTTTCAATTTTTGTTGAATAATTAGTTTTTTTATAAAACTCCCGTGTAGTTCACGGACATTGTACTAGTTCTAATATTCATGCGTCATACTAATTTTCTCTGTCGATTCAATTTTATTTGATAGTTTTATGAACGAGTGGGTCGATTTCCAATTCTTCACGAGAATATATATGTAATTATTTTAAATACAGCTAAATGAAATTTCCTATCCATGTTTAAATTTGATTTAATCATGTAAAAAAACCAAAAATATAAATTCGATATTTTTGGGAGAACCACAATTTCGTCAATAACTTTTTGTGCAGTTGTAGTTTTGCCCTCTTTTTTGTTGAACATTAATTTGATCTGATTCTAGTGGGTGTACCATTTCTTCTTTTTTTTTTTTTT